GTATGCAGCCATTGACAGGGAAATAAAAAAACATTTAGAAGTATCATGACAGAAATAACCGACCGTTTAAACGAGTTCACAGCTCCTGTCTCGATGAAAGCTGGAGTGAAAGGACTCGTCGATGCAGACATAACTCAAGTTCCTCGAATCTTCCATTTCCCCTCTTCAGCTTTATCCAACAACAACGGTCCTTCTGATATCTCCGGTTTAAACCTCACCGTCCCAATCATCGACCTCGGAGACATCATCAAAGATCATGATGACAACACAGCTGCACGAAATGTCGTCGTTTCGAAGATCAAAGAAGCATCAGAGACTTGGGGTTTTTTTCAAGTGATCAATCATGGTGTTCCTTTAACTGTTCTTGAAGAAATCAAACAAGGAGTTCGAAGATTTCACGAAGAAGATCCAGAGGTTAAGAAACAATACACATCTCCCACCGGCTTCAACAACCAGAAATTCATTTACAGCCACAACTTCGATCTTAATGATTCTTCTCCTTTGAATTGGAGAGACACTTTCATCTGTTTCCTTGCTCCAGATCCTCCAAATCCAGACGAAATCCCACTAGCTTGCAGGTAAAGTAATTCTCTTTTCTCATTTTTTTTCTTCAAGGGTTTTTTGATTCTGAATATATATAGTGATATGGTTTTAGGGATGCTATGATCGAATACTCGAAACATGTAATGGAGTTTGGAGCTTTCCTCTTCCAACTTCTCTCTGAAGCTTTGAGTTTAGAGTCTGAGATGCTTAAGAAGATGGATTGTCTTAAGGGTTTGTTTATGGCCTGCAATTATTACCCACCTTGTCCGCAACCTGACCTAACTTTAGGCATAAATAAACACACCGATAACTCTTTTCTCACTCTTCTTCTTCAAGACCAAATCGGTGGTCTTCAAGTTCTTCATCAAGATTATTGGGTCGATGTTCCTCCTATTCCTGGTGCTCTTGTCGTCAACATTGGTGATTTCATGCAGGTTACAACCCACTTCATTTCCTTCTTATCTTACACCTTAAAATCAGAGTCTTTTTTACCTGAAGGATTTGAGACACTTTGTTTTGCAGCTGATAACAAACGATAAGTTTTCGAGTGTGGAGCATAGGGTAAGGGCGAACAGAGATGGACCGCGGATTTCAGTCGCGTGCTTCTTTAGCTCGAGTTTGTTTCCAAATCCCACGGTTTATGGACCAATCAAAGAGCTTCTGTCTGATGAAAACCCTGCAAAGTACAGAGAAATCACCATACCAGAGTACACTGCAGGATACCTTGCGAACAGCTTCGATGGAAAATCGTATTTGTCTAATTATAGGATATGAACCAAGAACTTGTCCAGCTTAAGGAAAGATAATCAGATATTGTGTGTGTGTGTTTTGCATTTGAAGTTCCCTGAATATAATAAAGAGAAGATGTTTTAAGTAGCTTACTGAATAAACAGATTCACACTTGCATTATTTATTAACTTCTACTTCATGCCTGAAACAGAGGAAGAGAAATGATAAAATGTGTAGCAGATTGACATATAAGGTTTCTTTCTTCAAACTACATGAGCTTCGTTTTTGAGCTTATCTATTAACTCATCCACTGAAGAAACAATAACCCCGGACTTCCTCTTTGGAGGCTCCGTGACTTCGATAATGTCTATGTCCGATTTAATGTCTACTTTCAGATCCTCCACCGTCATTTTCTTTACGGGCTTCGATTTCGCCTTCATAATGTTGGGGAGAGTTGCATACCTTGGTTGGTTTAGCCTCAAATCAGTTCTGCATTTTAACATCAATGAGAGTTCTTGCATATAAATCTATAAACTCAAGAGAGATCATGACACAAACATGTAAATAAAGTGATGTTAATTAAGAACTTACGTGATCACAGCGGGTAAGTCTACGCTAAGAGTCTCAAGACCTCCATCGACTTCTCTATCCACGGTTGCAACATGCTTATCCTTATCCAACACAACCTACTAAACAATAACGATCCATAGCACATAAACATATAATCATGACAACTTTTACAACTTAATGTTATGATCTGAAACCATTCAAGAG